GAAGCATTACATGAGTTTGTCACAGCAAGTGAAGGATCCTGCCAGAGAGAGGGGCAGAAACTGGTTCAGTGAGACCACACCTGAGCTGGGATTGCATCCTATTTCTTCTCCTGTCTGCTCCCCCTACCCCTCTTGGCCAAACTCTGGGTAGCTGAGATGGTAGCTACTCAGAGCCCCACTTCAGATGGGCCAGAGAATGGGAGTCCTCTGGCTTTAGTGGTTCACCCTTCTTCGTGTACTTCCTTTTTTCTGGTGGAAGTGGTTCCTGAGACTGAGTCTGCCCCAAATTATAAAATCAAAATGAGAAGGCATCAAAGGGAAAAGACAGTGTGACTGTCACCAGAGAGGCCCCTTGCCAGAAAGGGAAGCCGATGGGAGAGGAGAGCCTCCGCTGACAGTGTGTTATGGGGCTGGCTCACATCTGGTGTGAACGGGAAGGAGGAGCTGCGGTGCCTGGCGGTGCTACTTCCCATATCCTAAAGTCTTCCTAGAACTTCCCCCTCAGCAGACTCTTTGGATGATGCCACTGCCAAATCATGAAAAATGTAACAAGGGTGCTGGTGAGCTTCATGAAGGTTGAAGCAGGCAGTCCTGATCTCGAAGCTTCTCGAAGGGTTCTTTGGAGACAATGCCGTGTACTTTCTGGTTGTGTCTCTTTTCTTCGGGCAACTCTTCCTTCTTCGTAGGCCGAGGTGCTCATTTGTATTTGATAGTCGGATTCCTTTTATGGAACCCTGGTTATCATTTGCCCCACGGTTGTTGCATATGCCCCTGGCAGATTCCTGGAGAGCTGATCTCAGTGTATGATATGTATTCAGGGCAGCGGGCACCCTTGACATGGGACCATGCCTTCCTCTGCTTAGCATTACCCCTCATTCTCCGTCATCTGGGGAGAGCCTGAGTTTCTTCCATGACCATAGCCTGGCTGATCCTTCCAGCCTTTCCTCCTGTTCTTCTTAGTTATGCACTTACAGTCAAGCCACCTAAAATAGTTTGGGAGCAGCTGCACACCCCACACCTTCTCGTGCTTCTGTGTTTCTTTTCATGCAGTGTGCCCTTTCTGGAATCACCTGCCTTCACTCATCTTCCATGTAAGCAACTTCTCATCTGTTTTCAAGATCCGGTTTGAATGTCACCTCTGCTTTCCTATCCCACTCCCCCCAGCATCAGTGACCCTTCCTCTGTGTTCCTGCAGGCCCGCCCTCTCTGTTATCTATGCTTTTACTTACCTTTTTATGTGTCTGCAGGGACACAGAAAGGAAAGGAACAGGAGCTTTGCACTCTGGTCTGGGTTTAAAACCTGGCTCTGCCACTTGTTAACTGTATGTCTTTGCAAAAGGGATCTGACCCTTGAGAACCTCTTCTTGCCTTTACTTGTAAATGGGCATGAGGAACTCTTCTGAACTGTTTGGTTGAGGATGAAATGAAACAGCCTGTGAGGTGCTTAGCATGATGCTTGACAGAAGGTAGTAGTGTTCAGTAACAGGTAAAAGTAGTGATTGTGGGGCGCCTGGGTGGCTCAGTGGGTTAAAGCCTCTGCCTTCAGCTCAGGTCATGATTCCAGGGTCTTGGGATCGAGCCCCGCATCGGGCTCTCGGCTCGGCAGGGAGCCTGCTTCCTCCTCTCTCTCTCTCTCTCTCTCTCTCTCTGCCTGCCTCTCTGCCTACTTGTGATCTCTCTCTGTCAAATAAATAAATAAAAAATCTTAAAAAAAAAATCTTAAAAAAAAAAAAAAGTAGTGATTGTGGTTCTTATGATTATTATTGGGTTGTGATGTCCTAGAGATGAAAGGGACCTGAGGGCTCATTCTTCGCATATAAAGCCTGATGCCTGCTTCCTTGTCCGAGAGTCACTGAGCTTTTCCTTGAACTCTGCCACACAAAGGATCATCACTTTCTCTCTTATCTTTTGATACTTAATGCTGCTGATACAGAGGCTTGCCTAGTGCTTAGACAAAGTTACTCTATGTTTATTTGGGGAACTATTTTAAATTGGCAGTTATATTTATGTATATATGTATATGTATATGTATGTATATGTGCATTATATATTATATATGCATGTCTGTCTGTCTATCTTTTTTTCTATTTTCTATTTTCTATCTATTTCTATCTAAACATCTTATATGATGTTTCACCATATAAGATTTCCTAAAAAGTCTTACTGATAAAGCTGGGTAAGGAAGTCACAGTAGAAATTAACTTCCCAAGCAAAGTTGTGAGTGGCTTTACATTTCCTTAGATCTTTAGTTTCTCGGTGGGTTTGCATCTGTTTATTGCTTCTCTCTGTGTGGACTACCCATGGAAATTGTTGTTCATAATGTTGCTGCAACTGTCAAACATATCCTGTCTGTGATAGATAAAAAGAATAAAATCTGAGTAACATAATAACATGATGCATCTAATAGTACTAATACTTCATTGGCAGGAAGAAGACAAATTTTTCCTAATGTGGTTTAGAAACAACCCTGGATTAGGAGCAAGAAATCCTAAAATAGTTTACGGTACTTTGGCTTCAGTTTTCTCATCTGTAAAGTGGGAGTATTCATCACACAGAGATGGGATATAGAGAAGGCAGAGGTGGACTCTGTCCCTGAGAACTACGCATTTCCTCCCTGCCCTATTCAACCAGAGCAGCTCTTTCTTTAAATTTTCAACATGAAATAGCATTGGAGTCCCTTATAAAATGTTATTCTGAATAAAATATTCTGTCACTTAAAAATTTGTAAACTTCTACACCATATTATCTTTAAGGTCTCTCTGGCTCCAAAAACTATGTGTCTCTAAAATAAAGAAGAGTGATGTATCCTTACTAACTTTCTGATGCATGTTCAGTTTTAAAAAATGAAACAAAATTACTTTTCAGAAACTTATTTTTAAAAAAGATGTTGTTTATTTGACGGAGAGAGACACAGTGAGAGAGGGAACACAAGCAGAGGGAGTGGGAGAGGGAAAAGCAGGCTTTCTTCAGAGTAGGGAGCCCAATGCAAGGCTTGATCCCAGGACCCTGGTGTGGGGCTCCATCCCAGGACCCTAGGATCATGACCTGAGCCGAAGGCAGCTGCTTCACAACTGAGCCACCTAGGTGCCCCACTTTTTAGAAACTTTTTTTGAATAATATTTTTTGTCTTCCCTCTCTGATTGGTTTAATTGCAGTGGAAGGCTGTTCCTTTTCTTTTTCTTCTAAAATTTGCTCTTCTCTGACTTAATCCAAATCATACATCCAAAGAAAAGGTGATAGGTATGGTGGAGGACAGGAAGACAAATATGCTTTATTATTCCCTTTCATCTTTCATCCCAGGCCAGTCCTTGGAGAATCCATACCATAATTAAAATATGTTTTCAGCAACATGCATCTCCCTTTTCTGTAGTTCCTTCACCCCCCACACCCCGTTCTCTCCAGATGACCTTGTAGAATCATAAAGGTGGAACAGATGTAAAAAAATCTTTATACCTAAATTCTTCACTTGAACCATGTGGAAAATGGGACCCTGTGAGGGGGACAGATTTGTACTGGATAGGGTAATGAGCCATAACTCAAACACTGGTCTTTTCCAGGTCAGTTCATTTTCTAGTAGGTCTGGAAAACCTCCTGTGCTTTAGCTCTCTTATTGTAAAATAGGGATGATAAGAATAGTATTTGCCTATTAGAGTTGTTGCTAATATTATGTGAGTATAGAACCTTAGAGCAGTGCTTGGACTATAGACAGTTTTGGATACCTGTTTGCTGTTACTCTCATTACTACACTTCCATACTCTGACAGCAGGCTGCCCAAGGTGCAGAGAGATGGTAACCTCATTTGGAACCATGCTGCCTCCCTTCTTGCATCCCCAAAACAAGTTATTAAAATATGTCTTTTTTTTTTAAACATCTAGTTTTAGCAGGTTACTGCTCCCTGCTGGGTAACATTGGGTAGGTAATAGGTTCTTTTCAGATAAAAGAATTTCATGTTAACATGTTGACTGCTTAATGCTATCTTTGTCTGGTGGTAATGTGTTAACTCGGTGACTTATGTATGTGCTTCCAGAAAATCAAGGACTGACTTTCATGAGGTGACTTCAGATTGTGTGGTAGGCGAGTGTGTAAGCCATTTTCAATCAAATGGGTCAGTCATCTCACCTTGAGGAAGGCACTTTCTTCCACTGGAATGAATGGGGGTGGTCATGCCATTCCCATCACTCTCACTTCTAATTTCTGGAAAGTAAATGCCAACTACCAAATGGGTGAGCATTTAGGATTTAGACACTATCATTGTATTCCTTTATCAAGGTCATATGACTGTAACTTTACTGGAACAATGAGGAAAAACTAGCTCTTATCTTTATCACTATCTTACTTTTGAGAAGCAGGCATATAACTAACGGCTAGCCAAAGGATTCTGGGAGTGTGAATGAAAGAATCTGCCAGGGAGGGAAATATGGTTAAGGGGCAAGCTGCACCCAGAATCTCAGGAGCCCTGGGTCCCAGCTTTGAAATAGCCCTGGGAGGTGGTAGTGGCTTCATCTAGATGGGAGTTTGGCTGCAATCAACTGGAGCCAGGATCTTTTCTTTTTCCGTCTTTGGTCTCTCTCTTAATACCCCCTCCTTCCTCCCTACCCAACTCCATATCTGGTCCCATTCTTCCAGAGCACAGAGCTTTATTGACACTGTGAATGACCTAGGGGGACACAGTGAGTTGCCACTTTGTGGAGCTGAAACTCTTTCCCAGTCTCAACGCCTGCCCAACCATTGCGCCCCTGCAGGGACCTCTTGAGGAATATGTGGCATTAATCGATGGAACCTCCTACCTCCTCAGTGTTGGTTTATGTTTTCCTTCCCGGCACCCCCCCCCCGCCCCCATGCCCTCCCTCTACCCCATCATGGGTCGGGGAGGCGGGGAGGGACGGACAAATGAAGACTCTCATTAGTAAGAACATATCAGGACTTTTTAAGTGTGATGTGTGATTACTTTAATCTCTACCAATTGCTTTATTATTTCAAAATGGACCCGGGTCTCCGGCGGGCCTGTAGGTGAGCCGCACCTGAGAGCTGCCGGCGCGAACTCCGCGGAAGCTCGCCGCGCGGTTCTGCCCGCAGCCCTCTGGGGGGCCGAAGCCCTCGGTTCCCCGGGACGGCGCGCGGGGCACCTCGGGCGTCGTTTTGTGCGCGCCGGGGCGGTGCGTGGCGCGCGCGGGGCTCCCGGTCCGAGGCCCGAGCGTGTGCCCCGCGGACGGCGCTTCCCCGCGCGCCCCTCCCTCCGCGCCCGCGGGTGTCAGACCAGACGCCCAGCCCCGGCGCGCTGACAGACGACTTTTCTCAGTTGTCAGTTTTCTCGCTTGTCAGCAGAGCTGCTGGTAAGTGAAAGCAAACAAGAGACGGGGCGCGAACGCGGCGAGGCTGGGCAGAGAAGGTGGGACGGGAGGAAGGAAGCCGCGGGCCGCCCGCGGCTGGGGGCGAGGGGCGCGGGCCAGTGGGGTGCGCGGCCTCCAGGTCAAACCACTCCGCCCGCGCCAGCTCCCCCTTGGCGCTTCCCTTTCCCTCTCTCCCCTCTTTCCCTTCTCTCCCTTCAGTCTCCCCCTCCCTACCCGGTCTCCCTTTCTCCCCCAAATCCATCAGCTGCTACACTGATCGTTTCTGTGGCTTTGTCTTAAAAAAAAAAAAAAAAGGAAAGAAAGAAAGAAAGAAAAGAAAAAAAAAAAACAAAACAATCCGAGTAGGTCCGAGGTGCTTTCTCCTGGAGCAGGAGCACAATCCCTGTTCCTGGGAATTAGCTCGGAACCATGGCTGGTTCCTGCAGCTGCCTCCGGGAGGCACCTGGGCCGGGGGTCGCCCTTGCTGCGAGCCCGCAGTAAGTCCGGGTTTGGGGGCACAGAAAGTGACAGGCAAAGGCGCGCGGCGCCCGGCTGGGGCTCGAGGGCCGGACCCGCGAGGAGGCGGGGAGAGGGCCAGCCCAAACTCTCACAGCCTCACTCCCAGTGATAACCTGCAGCTATGGAGTCGCCAACCAAGGAGATTGAAGAATTTGAGAGCAACTCTCTGAAGTACCTGCAACCCGAACAGATCGAGAAAATCTGGCTTCGGCTCCGAGGGCTGTAAGTAAATCCATTTACTTCTCTTGCCCCGTTTCTCTCTGCAATCGGTATTTTACGACCCTGCTACAGCCATGACTGCTTACCCCCTTCCTGCAGGTCCCTTTAAATACAGCCCTAGACGTTCCACAACTGCTTCTCGGTTAATTACAGTCACTGCTACCTTCCCCCCCCCCCCCAAGAGACTTGGTTTTGTTGTTTTGTTTTGTTTTGAGTATTTTAGAATGCCTTGCTATTTCCAAAGCATACTTTCTTTGGGGGAAGGGGGAATGTCCTTAGATTTCAGTTGTAGTTAGCTCAATGTCCACAGAGATGTTTCTCATCTTTTTATCCAAGGAGGAAAGTCTGGGGGGACTCAGGCCACATACTGTTAATCAAAGGAAGATACTCTCTGCAAAATGCTTGCAAACATCTTGGCAGGTGGTCCAAGAACTTACCAACAGTTCAAATTCAACATTCATTCTGGCTGCTTAATTTTCCTCTTCCTTGCCCCCGTCTAGTTCAACTTCTGATATTTTCTTAGGATTCTTTCTATTGGGGAAATAATTACTAGAAGGTAGGGCTGTTTTTGGAGAAAGTGGGGGGTCAGAACAAATATTGGAATTTCCTTGCAATATTGGAATAGTGAAATAGCACATTTGCTTTCAGTACAGTGGCCAGAATTCTAGTTGGACTGATGGACAGAGATCTCTGAATTTTATTCACTTCATTGTTTCTGTCTGGTTTTGGGTGCTGAGGAGAGGTGTCCTTAAAATACATGGTATTTTCTGTGAGAAGATTTCATATATAATGAACAGCTGGTTACCCCCGTCAGGAGGCTGTAGTGATAGCTGTGCATTTACAGCTTGCCCCTCAGCTGACCAGGCAGATCCCCAAAACACCTTTCATAACTACCAGATATTCATTTCATGAGACATTTGGCATCAAATATCTAGTGCAGTTAAAACAACAACAAGAAAAACAACAACAGTTTTTTTCCAAGTATATTCTCCATTCTCTTCCTTATGGACAGTGATGGGAATACGAGCTCCCTGGCAGTTCGTTTTGCAGTAGTTGGTATGTTTGAAAGCGCGCATGCGCGCACGCACGCACACATACACACAACCCGAAACAAAATTAAAAAGGCGCTGATATAAGTTAGCTTCATCCTAGAGGAGACCATATCCCAACCGGGATGTTCAAAGTTTCTAAAGGGAAGGGATAGGCATATATGTTTTTTAAGGCATATATGTTTTCAATGGCACATTGAAAGCGCCATTTGTAAAAGTCCTTCCATCAGTAATTCAAGTGAGTTTCATTGTCACCGATCTACACAGGAAACCATGCCAAATAAGATGATTTTTGGGTTGTCTGGCTGCTGCAGACAGAGGCGGTACTTGGAGATCTTGTCTTTTTGGTTGGCAGGCTGTCCTGACATTGAGGTGCATTTGGGGTTTATAGTAAGCTCATGTCGTATGTCTGAACATTCCAACTGATCATATTGGGGTGCACACAGAAAATTGTTGTGTCTGCAAAGTTGGGGTCTGAGGTAGGCAACATCAAAGTGCTGCTGGGGGGGTCCCCTAAAATCTCAGCTGGAGGGACTTGTCCACACACATTCAGGAGCTGCTTCTCTCTGGCTGCTTTATAACTACAACCAACCCCATGGAGCTGCTCAGGCTAGAGGGGAGTGTTTGAGTAAATCAGCCAGGCTGAGCATGTGTGTGAAAAAGCATTTAGTGCTTATAACACACTGTCTTACTGCTTTCTGGTTCCGATCTTTTAGGCTTCTCTCCCCAAGGTGTTGGGGTGTGACATAACCACATTTTCGTTCTCTTGTCTTTTCCATCTACTCAGCATCCTGTGCCTTTGAACATAAAAGGTGTGGGTTGGTTCTTCTCCAAGTGTGTGTTTTTGAATTCCTCTCTTTACCCTTCCTACTGAAATGCCCTGCCTAAAAGCAATCTGAGGAGATCTGTTGCTCCACTTTCTATTTTGAAAAGGACATGTTACTATCGTTATTGTGACACACACACACACACACACACACACACACACATATATATATATATATATATATATAATTTTTTTTTACTACTATTAATGGTTCTTATTGACACTTAAAAAAAAACACACCAAAAAAACCCCAAACAGTAGTGCTATGATAAGTTGCTAAAGACTCTGGAAATCAAAGGCATGCTTATTTATACTATTTGGAATAACACTCTTGCAGTTCAAAAAATAGAAACTTACAGGAGGTGGAAGGGTATGTTTCTGTTTGTACACACAACAGATTGTCGTAAGAGAGAGGAAACAGCCCTTACAACATTTTAGAAAGACCAAATAGCCACAATTGGATTTTCACTATTACCTTGACTCCCTTATAGAAGGGGCTTTGTAGGCAAACACAGATAGTCAAGAATTTGGTTCAGTTTGTTTGAGAGCCATCTAAGTTCAGGACTTGATCATCTCATACCTGGATGGTTCAGTGGCATCAGTCTTCTTGTCAGTATCTTCTATATTCAGTCTACTGTTGAATTTTTCATCTCCTCTATTAGAACGTAAGTTCCTTGAGGATGGATACCTTGTGTGTCTTACTGCTATACCTCCAGGACAGAGAGCAGGGTCTGGCACATAGTAGATGTTCAATTAATAGATGATGAAGGAAACATAAAGAACCATATATGAACTTTTTAATAGTAAAAAGGAAGATAAATATATATTGGGGTCAGCTTAGAGGCCACATGACCTATCAACACTGTATTGCATGAAGTAGATAGGAGGCAGGTTTTGTTAACATCATTACCCAGGTTGGGCACAGAAATCTAAACTGAAGTAGGAACAGGGTAAGATGTGGGAAAGCCACAACCCAGGGCTGAATCCCACTCTTTGGTTTACCTAGGTTCTCTTTTTCCCTCCCCGTGTCCTCTCCCCTTTTGTGTACTGGCCAGGAGTGGTCCTTACCAGCAGAAAGAGGATTGTTATTGCTGTTCTTATCTGCCAAGAATCCACAGTGTAGGAGAATATAGGGGATGATCCTTTACGTGTTACAACCTCCACCCATCCCTCTTTCATGCTTTGTTTCCTTTTTTTTTTTTTAAGATTGTATTTAGTTAAGAGAGACAGAGAAATTCTGAGAGCGTGAGTGGGGGAGGTGGGAGAAGGCCGAGGGAGAAGGAGAAGCAGACTTCCAGCTGAGCAGCAAGCCCAGTGAGATCCCCTGGGATCATGACCTAGCTCAAAGCAGATGCTTGACCGACTGAACCATCCAGGCGCCCCCCCATGCTTTGTTTCTTTTCTCTTACACATCTCACCACCTAAAAGCTATGTATTTTGTTTACTTATTATTATGTAAATGTATTTTACATGTGTATTTATTTTATTTACTTATTATGTACTTTATTTACTTATTATGTTTATTGTCTGTCTCCTCCAACTGAAATATAAACTTCATGAGGACATAGTTTTTTGGACTGTTTTGATCACTGGTGCATCCCTGCACCTACAGTACTATCTGGTATATAGTAAATTCTCAATACGTATTTGAAACCTAGAGCCTGTTCACATATTTCTCTGGGAAAAAATTGGGAAAAACTTTTTTTTTTTTAAATATTTTTATTTATTTATTTGACAAAGATCATAAGTAGGCAGGGAGTGGGGGAAGCAGGCTCCATGCTGAGCAGAGAGTCTGATGCGGGGCTCAATCCCAGGATTCTGGGGATCATGACTTGAGCCAAAGGCAGAGGTTTAACCCACTGATCCGCCCAGACACCCCTGGGAAAAACACTTAATCTAGCCTTGTAACAACATCAAGATGCTAATAGCACATCGACTATCAGAAATGCAAATTTTAAACACTATCTACCCCTCTTGAGATTGCAAAACCCTTGCAAGTTTTGATGTTTACTGTAATGATGACTTTTATCTCCCTTGAGCAAGGTGCTGAACACCTGTGCATGGAGGCTGGCTGTGATTCGAGGCTTGTGGTATTCCTCAGTCTCCCTCTGCAGCCCTGCCACCATCTCATAACCATGTTCCTCTAAGCCAGGGGGAAACAAATACTACACACCTGAGCTTTTTAATGATCTCTGCCAAAGGGATGCTGTCCGCTTACCTTTCTGGGAGGAGCCTCTTTTTTCCCCCCCATTTCCATTTCAGTAGACCTCTGTTGTCCCCCAGTACCATTGTCATACCTCTTTCCTCTGTAGAGATGGTGGAATCTGAAAGAGCCCTTCCCAGTGGTTGTTTTGTCAGGGAATCTTCCTATCAGGGAAAATATGACAAGGGTGGCCCTTTATTCCTCTGGTGATGTCGGGGAACCTCAGGACTGTATAGGTTTGAGTCATGACTTGCACCTTGGGTCCTGATCAAGAGTTTTCCTATTGCCAGCCTGTTCTATGATGACAAAAAAATGTTTCTATGCTTTTTTTTTTTTTTTTTTAATTGAGAGCAAGCCAACAGGTTTCACTGACTCCTTGGCATTTATTGTCACAATTGTAGTTAAGCCATCATGTATTTATTTTGCCCAAGTATAATTAATTTTTTGCTTATGTGACACTATGAAGATGATTTCTTTTGCATTATCTAAAACAATATTATGATATAAAGGGAGGTAAATGGCTATTAAGGTAACAGACCAGCACTATTGATTTTTTGTATTCAGTGAGCTTTTTGACTCCCTAGTATGGTAATGGGCCCTGCCTCCCTCTACTCCCTACCCCTGGCTTGGGGATGAGCTCAATGTCCAGGACTAGCCAGTCTTAGGATTTCACCCTAGTGGCAACAGTGGTAGGTGTCAGATGTGGCAGGGAAACCAAGCAGAAGTGATAGAGTCCTTCATTGAGACTGCTCTCTTGGCTGTTGGGGAGTGCTGCTTTCCCTTCTGGGTTTTCCTGGTGGCTGCCACTGGGTCCACTTCCTACTTCATGGAGAAGACCTTTCTGTGATAGGGGACAGGAGAACCAACACTCAGAGAAAAGCAGTGGGGAGAACATGGAGTGGAAAGCCCTGGTCTGCTCCCAGAG